TTGTGCATTGTTCCTTATGGTTCTTATTGTGATTATGCCATGTATTAGGGCTCCTAGCATTGTTTCTATTTTTTCTTCTGTGATCTTTATCGTTTTGGATTTTATATTAGGTCTTTGATAAATTTTGAGTTAGTTTTTGTGCATGTTGTGAGCTATGGGTCTTGTTTTAGTTTTTCGCAGATGGATATCCAGTTATGCCAGCACTATTTGTTACAGAGACTGTCTTTTCCCCAATTAACGGACTTTGGACCCTTATCAAATATCAGCTGCTCATAAGTGGATGAATTTATGTCTGGATTCTCAATTCTGTTCCATTGGTCTATGTATCTCTTGTTGTACCAGTACCAGGCTGTTTTGACTACCGTAGCAGTATAGTAGGCTCTGAAAGTAGGTAGTGTGAGGCCTCCCACTTTGTTCTTCTTCTAGAGTAATGTGTTACTTATTCAGGGCCTCTTCCCTTTCCATATGAAGTTGGTGATAATGTTTCTCCGTCTCATTAAAAAATGCTATTGGCCAACTATTCAGACAGATTAGACTGGACTGTGGGACATAAGGTTATACTTGTGAGGAGTGGGCCTCTTAGCTCAAGTAGATATGAGAGACTAAACATGTAGCTTCTGTCCGGAGATGAGATGGGAAGGCAGAGGGTTAGGAGCTGGTTGAATGGACATGGGGAATCAGGTGGAAAGGAGGAGTGTGCTGTCACAGTATGGGGAAAGCAATTAGAGTCACACAACAATGTACGTATACATTTTTGGATGGAAAAAATAAATTTTTTAAAATGCCGTTGGGTTTTGAATTGGGATTGCATTGTATCTGTAGATCGATTTGGGTAGAAATGACATTTTCACAGTGTTGAGTCTTCCTATCCATGAGCAAGGTATGTTTCTCCACTTACACAGGTCTCTTTTAGTTTCTTGCAGTAGTGTCTTGTAGTTTTTTTTGTATACGTCTTTACGTCTTTGGTTAGATTTATTCTTGAGTATTTTATCTTCTTGGGGGCTATTGTAAATGATACTGATTTGGTGATTTCCTCTGCAAGGTTCTCTTTGTTAGTGTAGAGGAATCCAACTGATTTTTGTATGTTCATCTTGTATCCTGATACTTTGCTAAAATCTTCTATTAATTCCAGTAGTTTTCTTGTGGATTCTTTGGGGTTTTCTGTGTATAAGATCATATCATCTGCAAATAGAGATACTTTGACTTCTTCGCTACCAATTTGGATGCCCTTTATTTCTTTTTCTAGCCTAATTATTCTGGCTAGGACTTCCAGCACAATATTGAATAAGAGTGTTGATAAAGGGCATCCTTTTCTAGTTCCTGTTCTCAAGGGGATTTCTTTCA